CAGTAAGAATTCTCTGAGGTAGGATTCTGAAACATATAAAGTACAAACTTCAATTTTCATAAAAATACTACGTAAAATTTGCAAATACTTGAAATGTAAAAAGAGTAATGAGACACATTTTTTTTTCTTATTTTTTAGTACACAAAATCTTACATTTTTGACTAATCATGTTCAGTTATAATAATTGCCATTACTTGAAATGTAATTAATGTAAACAAAGAGTTATTTAGTACAGAAAATCCTGCATTTATGGCTAATCACATTCAGTTAATTACAATAATTAATATAAATTTCTTATTTGAAATTTCTTATAAGAAATGTATTAGATTATTTAACTTAAATTTGATTAATTTAATTAAAGAAATTCCACAAGTAAATCTAAATAAATAATTTCATAGTAACTTTGGATATTTTTCATTAAAAAAATATAATTTTCTTGTATATTTGCGATTTTTTCATAAAAAAATCAACTTTTCTAAAGTATTCATTGCTTATATTTATTACTTCTCATTATTTAAACGACGAGTGACAACTTTAAAAAAAAAGTTTTAAACAATTAAAAATATTAATTACGAAATAATTAGTTTTGCATATTATAAATAAATAATAAAAAAGTAACGCGTTTTAAATGAGTTAAGAAATTCCATAATTGAAATGGAAATAACAATAACAAAAAAAAAAGTAACAGAATAAAATAATTAAAAATTTACAAAAAAAAAACAACAACAATTTCATATAAACTTCTTAATTTCTCTTTATTTTTTTCTCTAATTGTTAACTTAACTTCCCCAATCATTTTACCCTTTTAACAGCACGTACTTCTTTAATGATTTTCAAATCAGTTGTAAAACTATAGAATTAAATGAATTGCAAATATAAAAAAATCGTTACGAAATGTAGTACATTTTACGGTGTCGACACTCTTTACTTGTCCATCATTTGCTTGCATTTGCAGTAAATGCACACACACGAAACATCTTTGGATACAGACATTAATTAATCCTTAATTATTATTATGGTAATGAAACGAACCTCATTTCTATTATTGTTTGTGCTGATGTCATGATAACTGGAAAACCATTGTTTTTATTATTTTGAAACTTGCCAATTTATTTATTTCACATATTTACATCCAAATCATAATTTCTTTTGAAAGAAACATACGCAAATTAATATTTTAATAAAAAAAAAATGTTTTCTTAATAATAAACTGTTATAAAACTTGAATTATTATTACCTGTTGAACATCGAGTAGGACACGTATGCGTCCATGAAAGGTATTGTTTGGTACCGGAAATGTATGTTAATATTGGAACCGGAAACGCCGATGTCTGCAACTAATTGTTAAAATATTCGTGTTTTTGGTTTCATTTAATTTTACTGTTAGCAAACATTAATAGATCTGATAGATCACGGAAAATCTGATATTTCAAAACGGATACTGTAATATTTATCTAACCGTAATATCAGATTTAAAACTAATGAGAAATTATTTAATTAATTAATGAGTTAATTTCAGGAATAATTTTCTATATTTTCATAACAATTAACAGATTTTACGTTGCAAATTAATTTGAATCATATCAACTTATTTTGATTAATTTATAGATTGTTACAGTATTTATTATGTGTATTTATACAGGCTTAAAATTTATAGAACATCAATGGAAATAACACCGCATTCCATAAACTATTGAATCTGTTGATCCGCTATTCCGAATGATACAATTCCATTTCATAATAGATTTATAATGGATTTGCTGTTATTTCCAGACAATTTCTTTGATTCGATTACAAAAAAAAGTTGCACATTGTAGCGGACCGACAATTTGCTGGGAATAAAATGAAAACTTGTAATAAGAGATCAAAAGGTCCGAAATGCAATCATATTTGCATTAATATAATATACATTTTTGTTTTATTAGAAAATATTGTGAAGCGTTATTTTTCTTTGAAGTAATTAAATGAAATGTTTGCTTTAAACCAATTAATGTTATATAAACTAATTAAAAAAAAACGTGACTTAAACAGTAAGTGAAGACAAAACGTATCCACAAGTTTAATTATTTCACTTTAATATAAATAAGGATAAATTTACCCTAATTTTCAAACTTTTGTTATGATGTTTGATGCGTTTGTTGGGAAGGTAAAGAAATAGATTGAGTCGTCTCCACAGGAAGCGCTCCTTCCTGCCTCGTAGATAACGCGATAAGGTCCTTTTCTTCTTTTAACAAGATAATGAAAAGGGGTTTTTGTACCTATTTTTACGTGCCCGTATAAACTTTTCGTCCCTTTTTCTCATTCTTGAATTAATTCCGGGTTCGTCTCGGCTTTTCCCCGAATTTCTGGTTTCTGGAACTGTTTTATTCTTTTATTCGCATGCAGAAACCATCCACAATAAAACTTCTCTCGTCGTGCGCCGTTATATAAATCACGGATCGTCGTTGCGTGCAGTCATGTAACCGAAACAAATACAATAATTCATTTCTAACAATTGAGAGAAACGGCACATTTACAAGCAAATACATAACAAATTTTCTACTTTTTTTTAATAATTATTGAAAAATCTTCATTAATTTGTTAAGAAATTAAATTATTTTTATAATCAAAAGAAATATTAATATTTAAATTTTATTGAAAATTATTTGTAAAATTCAGTTTATTGGAAATAAATGTTATGTAACTGTAATAAAAACATATGTAACAGAAATTGAGTGTATAGTGAAAATGTAGTTTGACTATTGGATGAAGTTTTATGAATTGCTCTGTTAAACTCGCAATGTTTTACGAGATATTTCAGTGGAGATTACACGTGTTCAGTGCATTAAAGCAACATTACTTTGGATCTGTGAGCGTCGAAAATGAGTATAAAACGAGGCAATAGTTAAAAAAAAATCGTGTTTCCACAAAGCGTTGAAAATGGAAAAGCGCAATTGAAAAAAAAACTAAGTAATGAATGTATAGTTTGTTCTTTATTCGGATCAGATTTCGTGAAAATACCGTAATTATTCCGCATTTTCCGCACTTGATCTTCGTGTTTGGTAAGATAATATCTCTAGACTTGCATGCTGCTGCACCTTTCGAAAGTATTCCTTCTTATACGTTTATTTTTTTTTGTACTTAGTTCCATGCAGTTTATTTATTAAAGAAAATTTGTTATCTCGTAACACTTAAATAATTGTGATTTATACAGCTGTTAGTTTATTTATATAAAAAAAAGAAATACATAAATTTAATATTTAATTATTAATCTTAAAACGAGTTTTTATTTACGAATAAATCTAATTATTATTATGTAAAAAGAATTATTTTCGAATTTAAATTAAATTATTAATAGGAAATGTTGTAAGCAAAAATAATAATGATTATATAATAATTACTGTGAGATCTGTATTTTTTTTTATTACTCGATAAGTAGTTCAATTTTCCACAAAAAAAAAAACAATATTGTTATAGAATTGTCGACTCGTTCATATTTTCCAAACAACTCGACGTATTATATTAGCCTGAATGCATAATGCGCAGGCTGTTATATAATATGAATTTCTTGCATATTTCCCGTGGCGTGACTGGTAGCATTTCCATATATAACACGTTATTACTGGAGCAAGTTTATGTTTATAACATATGATATATTTTATACATTGCATACATCCTCTTTCTATAACATTAAATGTTTTCAGTTTGTATAACATTAAATCAGACATTATATAATTATAAATATTTCCATACACACACACAAAATGTAAATAATCTCTTCGTTTATTATATGTACATTTAATTAATGATAGTAATTCGAACATTATGTAATTACTAATATTATCACACAAAAAATAACTATTAGTTAGTGTATTTACATGTAATTTAAGTACAACATGTTTTTAGATTTCTATATTTTTAATATCTTTCATTTTTTTTTTCATTTTCGAAGTTGAAATTTTATAAATATTAGTCATGAATTGTAAAAGTATCGATTAAAATACCAGAAAGTATTGGGGAGTTGGAATTTATCTGTTCGTTTATTATATGTACATTTAATTAATTCGAACATTATGTAATTACTAATATTATCACACAAAAAATAACTATTAGTTAGTGTATTTACATGTAATTTAAACATCTACAACTTTAAATTTCTATATTTTTAATTTTTGAAGTTGGAATACCAGAAAATATAATTACAAATATTTGCATACAAAAAGTGTATTTACATGTAATTTTAGATTTCTATATTTTTAATATCTTTCATTTTTTTTTTTCATTTTCGAAATTGAAATTTTATAAATATTAGTCATGAATTGTAAAAGTATCGATTAAAATACCAGAAAGTATTGGTGAGTTGGAATTTTAATTGGTTTATGAAATAAGTAGGAATAAAAAAAATCTTCTGAGCTAAATAAAAACACAGTGTTTGTTTATTCTTCGATTTTGAAGAATCTTCTGGACGATGATTGAAACGATGGTCCACTTGATTACTTTTTGCTGTACCGATTGCGTGGCTCTACGTTACGCATAGCAGACATACATAGGTTCTGAAATATCTTCTTTGGCCCATATCCAAAGATAATTGAACGCCGTTTTGGAATCGTTTTGGTACCGCTCGATTACCTCCCCGATTTTTCCGACGTTCGGAAGCTGAGGAAAACGCGGCGCGCGCTCGCTCGCTCGCTCGCTAGAAAAACCTGTTTCGAAATGGATATATATTGGACACGGCTTAGTATTTTTCCTTGTTATGTTACCTGATCGTTTGCGGCAATCGCAATGCGATGATGGAAAGTCCTGCAAAGCGTGCGCGATTCTCATTCGGTACAACTCTGATGAAGAGCGGTACCGCAATCTAGGATCTCGGATTCTTCTAGGGTTTTCGGATGCGATAGGGCCGGACGTGGTACTTCTTCTCGTGGTCGTTTCAAGTGACAAAGGTTCTTCTCTACATTATAAATTGTGTATGTGTTTGAGTGCGTGTGTCTGTGCTCGGGCTAAAGACTCGTTAGGTATGCAGAGTGACGTTCGGGAATTATATATTTGTATTCGTCACATAGTTTGGCGTTGAGTGAGTGACTGTTAAATGAGTCGTAGTGGCGCATTCAGTTCGGAGTGCGAGCAGCAGAGGTGCGCGACTACTGATCACCGGAGGAGCACCGAGGATCGGAAACGGAAAGCAGTAGTCACGCCAACATCCTTCTTCGTCGTCCTTCTCATCCTGCCGGCCTGGTACTTCTTCAGTGGTGGCGCGCCGTATTCGCATCCTTCGTCGCGCGAACACCCTCTAGTTCTTGTTCAATTATTGCTTGATTTGTTCAGTTCGTTGTTGTTTTTTCTTGTTGTTAATCGTCCGCTACTGCCTCCTGTTGCGTGCTGTGCTGTTTGTTGTTGTTTGTTTTGTGCCCCCACGTGATGTTAGTTGCTGTTGATGAGGATGAAGAGTCGCACCGTTAAGAGCCATCACCATCAGCAATATCCTGCCATCAGTTCTGCCTATTGGCAACCGGCGCCTGCCGCTGGACCATATCTAGTCCCAGGTAGTGATTTAGATAAAAAAAAAACATTAATTAATCAATTTGCGCACTTTACCGTTTAGAAAGTTTCCAACAAATTGGCAATCATCTGCATCGTATTCATTAAGCCTGTCTGGCACCTAGAAACTCTAGTTACTAGCCAGGCATTCCCGAACTTCAAAAATAAATCAAAGCCAAATTACTAGGACAACTCGCGTTATTTAGAATACGCGATGAAACAATACAATGAATTTAATTTTAATAAATATATCCGACGGCCTTAAATTTCATTAACCAGAGGTTAAAAAAAACTAGTATCTGTAATTTACTTCACTTATTACCATAGCATTTAGTCCCAATTAAACTAATAGTTACTCCTAATAAATAGGAAATTGTAGATTGTAAACCTTTTAAGAGCCTTCAGAGATAAATGTACTTAAGTAAAGATTAACAACTTTTAAACGCTTGACAACCATTGAAAACATAACAAGTTTATTAATTTTGTGACAAATTAATGTATTTTTTTTAGTTAATATTAACTTAATTAGTTAAGTATATAATGCACAGTCCTGTATAATGATTTAGATGCAAAAGTTCCAAGATTTGATTTATTTTAACATTTTTCAAAAATAAATGAAAGCCAAATTACTAGGGCAACTCGCATTATTTAGAATACGCGATGAAACAATACAATGAATTTAATTTTAATAAATATATCCGACGGCCTTAAATTTCATTAATCAGAGGTTAAAAAAACTAGTATCTGTAAGGCTACACTTATTACCATAGCATTTAGTACCAATTTTAATCCCAATTAAACTAATAGTTACTCCTAATAAATAAGAAATTGTAGATTGTAAACCTTTTAAGAGCCTTCAGAGATAAAAGTACTTAAGCAAAAGATTATCAATTTTTAAACGCTTGACAACCATTGAAAACATAACAAGTTTATTACTTTTGTGACAAATTAAAGTATTTTTTTAGTTAATATTAACTTAATTAGTTAAGTATATAATACACAGTCCTGTATAATGATTTAGATGCAAAAGTTCCAAGATTTGATTTATTTTAACATTTTTTTTTAAAGAAATTTTCAAAACTTTTATTTAGTTTTTTTTTTAATAATCAATCATCAAACGTTATGCAAGAAGACTACAAACGTATTGTTTCGGAAGTGTCTTGATGATTTTGTGACACTTCTTTTTTGTTGTGCTCTCCTTAATGATCTTCCACGATTATTTTCAGCGCGCTTTCAGTCCGCGTTTATGAAAAATGAATGGTGTAACGGGAATGTCCATTACAACAGGTATACACGTTACAAAATTAAACTCTATTTCCGCTACAGTCCCGACGCGTTGCAGCAGAATATGCGAATTGCATAACCTTGATAAAAAAAAAACAATGTGAATCATAGAAAAAAAAAACGAAATAAATAGAAAATAACAACATCTATTCTCAGATGGTGCAATTGTGTATATATAATATAACAATGCGCATAAAAATTGAAATTCGCATATAATATGCACCTAGATTTAACGCTTCTATGATAAATTTAATATGTGAATTTCTGATGAAATTAAAATTCGTATATAATGCGTAGCAAAAGAAAAGTTAAGAAAATCTTAAGGTTAATGAATGGAGTTAATGAAAATCTTTGTTTTCGTTGTTGTTGTTGATGGAATATTCCTTCGGAAATAAATATGCTTTGGGCAAAACAATAACAACATCGGTAATCATTAATAAATACAACGTTTGGGTCGAGAGCGTGTCTTATCAGCGAAAAAAGAAAAATATATTTGTTGCAATTATATGGCAATAACGAGGGAAACAATGTTGGAAGGCAAGTAACGATTGTCGTGTCTTTTATTTGCCGACGTTGCAATTAAGGACTTTGTGGAAGGACGAAAATATCGATAGAAATATAATACATAAGACTTCCGAGAAATATAATTTACCATTATATACAATGGATATTTTGTTAATACATATTTATATCGGTTTGCGCACGAAACAATCAATTGTTTTTCAGTGTAAATGAATATCTGTTACATGGTGGAAGCATAATGAATAATCATAGTGAAGTCATCGCAGATGATTGAATAGGATATGACTTGAGAGCTTGATGATTTCCCCGATATTACATAACATCGCCGAACCGAACGAAATTGAGTTTTAGCAAACAGCGATGGTTGTATACGGGGCGAATGCAAATACAGGTGACCCCGAACACATCACCCCTCTTGACTCTCGTCAATAGGAATGTGTATTCAGGTCTGGCCATTGTCCACATTCAAATTTCAACCCATATTAACAACGCGGCGACAACAGCGTAAAGAATGGAAAAAAAAAATACCAGTTACTTTACGTAATCACCGATGAATATATGCATGAACGAAAAAAACTTCGGGCACCTTCGTAACGCGCGCGTCCTGTTATTTTTTTTTTTTGCTTTATCTTCTTCGATTGCCTAGTTGATTGTATGCAAAGTGGCTTTGATAAAGGAAGCTTTTAATTATTTCATAATTCCTATAGGGGCGAAAGCGTATTTTTTTGTTTTTGGGTTGTTGTTCCGAAAAGTTGCCTCTCCGGGAAATGCATCGATTCGTCTAACTTTTCTTCCAAATATTTGACTTTCTTAATTGCGTAACCGATCCGAAATCTATTAGCGTAATATTTATTTGCGCTGCTCCGGAAACCTTTGGATTTACTGGCACAAAGCAGGGAGTAATTGCATTCGAACCAAACAACATTAATTACTTCTTCAAATTGCTCTATTTTTCCCTCAATTACTTCCAAGTAACAAATTGCTTACATAAGTAATATTAAACTGGAAATTCTAGACTTAATTTCTCTGCTTTATTTTTCTTAATTGCCAATACTTAACTATGTTTTATTTAATTCTACCAAATGCGAAAAAGTTTTTTTTGTGTGGTTCGTTATAAAATTTAAACGGAAAAGTTAGTATCTTGATGGATTGCATTTATTAAAATTTTGTTCTGTTTGTTTTTTGTGCGAGCCAAATGTGATGATGTGCAAACAAAAGTTTCGCAGCGGCACGAAAAGCCGCATTTCGCGATTTTGACAAATGACTACTGTCTGTCGCTCGGACTCTCGGATTAAGACAAATTGTCCCGCTTCATGAGAACGTGTATGATCCCTCCAAGCATCCTCACATTCCGTATAGAAAATATTCCTTGCAATTACCAAGATTTCTAAGTGCTCGTAAATCTTTTATAGTCCTCACTCTTGATTCATTTACAAATTAGTTTTCCCTTATAGTAAGCATGTCACAACTCTATACTCATTCAATTTGTATTATATTGTATGTAATCATGATATCTCTAGATTCCTGTTGTTGACAGCTTCACTGCTATAGTACAGTTTCGAAGCTTATATTATATACCAATCAATTTTCAGTCCAAATTACCAATTAACCAAATCTGTAATCTTGTAATTAAACTTCTTCTAATTACCAAAATCTGTCAATATTTGTCAAGTAAAATCAATATTTTTTGTGGAAAATTGTATAACATAAATATTGATTGTGAAGTTAAGTAACTGACAACAACAACAAAAAAATATGTAGTAAGTGGAAAAATACACACGGAGTTGATTGAACTTCGTATGTATTTGAAATATCCTTTTGTTGTTCGAGTCACGTGTGCGACGACTTCCTTCCTCCAGTGTTTCCATTTCTTCTCGTTTCATAAATTAATACGTTTATGAATGTATTCCTCGAGGCCTATGAGCTTGACACGTATAACTATCATCTCTTGCCCAATCTCTTTTGCAAAATATCCTCGCTGCATAATTGCTGCATCCGAAGTTGCGCGAATTCAGTTCATAGCCATGGAAAATTGTTGATACCAGTTTCGGTTCGTGCGCGTAATATGTCATGTTTTGAGGCTGCAAATGGAGGTAGTAAAAGTGGCAATGAAAACGTGCATTATGATAAACGCCTTTAGCAGTATTTGGTTTTCAAAGACTAGACTAATCACACACATTAAATTTAATCTAGTTCAAATCGTGTTGAAAATTTGTTGATTTGTGATTTTAAATATCTTATTTTCATTATATCTCTTAATTCAAATGAAATGCAATAATTTGATTTGAAGAGAAATTTGTTTGATTCGATTTGAACAGATGACACCCCAATACAATGCAGTGAAGAAACTGGGTCATTTAGTCAATTTAGTGAGAATCGCTTTGAAAATAAATCATTTCTTGGAATTGTGCAAATAAAGAAAGTAGCAGCAATTTCAGCTTATTATTTATCACAGAAAAGGGCAATTTCGCTTATTTTATCTATGTTTATATTTAGAAGAAAAATGTAATACTAAGCAATCTTTCGTTATTTACATGTAAACTGATTATTGTTGTGTAATCTTGTGCGGATATAATAATGGTCGCAATGGGACTATGGAGGGTTTTTCGGTGCTTAGTTTGATGGTCGGAATTTATTTGCTTATCATTAAAACTAAAACGTTGCGTAAATATAATATGTTTGGTGGCCTAACTAAACAAACTTGCATACTCACACTCGCACACATAGAATAGAGCTTGAAGAGAGGTTCGTTTTGCTTACGTGAGCAGAACTTTTGATGATAATGCAACTGGTAATACGATTCTGGTTTGGAACTGCGGCCCATTCTTGTGCCGCTTCAGCTCGAGAATGAATTCGTCTTCTAAATATTATTATTATAGCAACCCACGATCTTCTAATTTCGTCAGTCAAATATAATACAATTAAACTATTATTTCTTACGAAATTATTATATTAAAATCATTGATTTTTACAAAAGTTTACAGAAATATGACAATTTTTTTACAACCATTATTAATGGTCATTGATTCTTGCAATCTTTACAAAAGTGTCATAGTTAATACTTATTTATACAAGTTGTAACATACATTTTTTTAATCTTTCAAATATATTATAATTAAACCATAGATTCTTATCAAATTAACACTCTTATTTATAAAAAAACAGTTTTTAAGACTATTTAGTCACAACTATTAAAGTC